ATCGTCTTCGTGTTTTTGAGTCAATAGAACTTTCACGTCGTGGGAATAGCGGTGGTTCCTCGTTTTTACAAGTATAAGTAATAAGTGATTACGACATAATAATCAGCGACGACCAGATATAACAAGTGGCGTTCAATTTCAAAGATACATGTTATTATTCAACTCAATTACATAAACATTAAATCAATCGACCAGATATTTTAATGAACACAATTCCTTACTAAATAATTTAAGATACTTTTGGTTTCTTCCTTATTAACATGATAATACAGTTGGCAGAGAAATTAAAATGTTTTAGTAATCCAAAATAACGTTCGTTAGTGACTCGAGCATACGTTTATCATAAAGTTTGATTCGATTAATGCTTCAAAGGTGATAGAATTCATTTCTGTATGAATCATTTATAAGCATCTAGAACTTTATAAGTGGATTAGGGACAATTGGTAAAATGTTGAGTGAATTACTTCTTGAATTACACATATCGACAAATTGGTTTGTGTGAACTTGTAGTGTGTTTTTATTAGTAAGCTATTAGTCTTTATTATTCAACCTTATTTCTCTAAGCAACTTTACTCTAACATTGGCATGATTGTGAAAATTGTACTTCTACCAATGACAAGCAATTGTTGTATTGTATCATTTGTCCTACTTGAACAACAGTAACATAATCTACATAATTTCGTGTGAAATTATCACATCGGGTTATGTCATTTTAAAATGTGAGATAATCGGAGTAAAAGTGTAGCATAATAGTGGAAAATATTAGAATAGTTTCTGTCCAAATGATTTATGCTACAAACTCATTCATTTTTATATTCATTATTACCGAAATCATTTTTTACCAAGTCAATCGTTGATGGTGTTTTGACATTTGCATATAACACATTTGATATTATATGGAAAAAAAACTATATTTCAGGTTAAAAAAATTAGGACAGAAAGCTACTAGTAAGACAATCAAATGTTCTGTGTTATAAAATTATTCAAGTTTTAGTGGTTATTCTCCATCATAAACCAGTTTTATATAAATTAGTGAACAAAAAACAATAGGTTTAAAACACAATATAATGGATATTTCTGAAACAGTCATTTTTATATTAACATACCAATAACGTTTAAGATCACATATAAAGTATAATATTGATAATTCTTTATTGATCTTCCAGCTCAGTACCAATATAAATCATAATCAAACTGTTAGCCACGACAGAGAGATGATCAACGCGAAGTGTATTTCGTAATCGATGATTTTGCTTACAAATAATTTGGGAGATACTTTTTATTTTGTTTTTAGTGTCTTCTACGAAGAATAGTAGAACATAACCCTTTTTATGTAGTCATTACAGTAGATCAATACAGAATTAGGTGAATAAAACTATTGATTGACATTTTAATATATTTGACTGAAGTTCTATTCAGATTTATTTAAAATATCTGATTGTTTAACCTATTAGCTTATTTCATGATACACTGAACGTCACATGTTGAATTGGTTCAGTTCAGTGTATGTTGAGGCCTGTTAATGCAATGGCTGCTGCTGCTACACTGGCTGTCCTCACCAGAAATTTTTGGCGTGTATGGGATAGAAGGATCAGGTCACCCGCAAAGTTGCATCCAAGCAGTCTATTGTTTTCCGTGCTTCCCTGAGATAAAGAGGTCTTCATAATTCAGTAAACCACCAGAAGAAATAGAAAGGACAGAGTAAGCGCCTTGTCTGACTCCAGGCCTCCCATGGAATGTGTCTGTCAGCTGTCCTCCATGCACCACTTTGCATTGTATGAATTCTGTATGATATTGACGATCATCTCAGGTACAACGTAGTGTCGAAGAATTTTCCATGAAGTCCTCCTGTCCACACTGTCGAATGCTTTCTCATAGTCAAGGAATTTGATGTGTAGTGACGAGTTTCATTCAATTGATTGTTCAATGACGAACCGTCGTGTCGTAATTTGGTCTGTGGACGACCGATCCTTATGGAATGAGATTTGTTGATCTCGAAGTTGGGCGTCTACTGCGTTTTTCATCCGGTTCATCAACACTCTATTGAAAACCTTTCCTGGTACTGACAGCAGTGTGATGCCTCTGTAGTTGTCACATTTGCACAGATCTTCTTTCTCTGGTATCTTAATGAGTTTTCCTTCTTTCCAGCCTGTCAGTACTTGCTCGTCCTCCCAAATTTTTCGGAAGGCAATATGGAGCATCGTTGTAGTTACGCGTATGTCTGCCTTCCATGCTTCAACTGGTATATTATCGGGTCCTACTGCTTTCCCACTCTTGCTTTGTCTGGTGGTCATGCTGATTTGTTCGATTGTTGGTGGAGTGAAGTCTCTAGGAAGACCTGAGTATGCTGCTCCGATATCTGGTTAGTTCAGGGAGCCTGGTCTATTCAAGAGTCCTCCGAAGTGTCTTGCCCATCAGTTCCGCTGGTTGTGAATCCCAGAATTTTGCTAGCCTTCATCGTTTTTGTCTGGCTGTTCTACTTTTACTGTATGATGCAGCTGTCTCTTCGTTATGTCAAAGTTTTCCCGTATTTCTTTTTATTGGGGCTTTTTCCGCCATTATTAATAGATCTTCCACGTACTTCCTATCGACTGAAATTCTCCTCTTCACTCTCTCGTCTGCTTCTGTTTATTCGGTGGGCGCCTTGGCTTTCTCTGTACTTCTTTGAATGTTGGTAATTTCTGTCTTCTTGTTCTTCCCTTACTGAATCCGACCCGGGGTTTCTATAGAAATTTATTCTTTATGATGGTGCTTCTTGCGACCAGAACCTCCTGACACGTTGGAGTTAGTGCTTTTTTTGGTTGCCTTTCCAATTGTTCTCCATAACACTTTCTTCTTCCAGTAGATTTTGTAACCTGTTCTTGAGAGCTATCTTGAATTCGTTGAGTTTGTCAGTATTCCGAAGGAATGCTGTTTCTTCAGTTGTCCAAAGCTTATTTAGCTTGAATTTGATCTTAGCAACCACCCGTTGGTGGTGATCTGCAGCTATGTGAGCTCCTCTCTTGGTATGTAGGTGTTCCACGGGTCTTCTGAACGTTTTTGGTGATAGTATGGTAGTGAAATTAAAATATGATTGGTCACTGAGCGTTGACAAACAGGCATTTAGCCTATGGACTATTAAATATGTAATTTACTTTCCTCTCATTGATTTCTACTCCGGACTCACTGAGAGTGATGGCTTGTAACTGGTTAAATTAAGTATTATCTAGTTTATTCTCCGGTTCTCTATTTTGAGTCTTGAGTCCTGGATGTAATATAATGTGTATAGTCTTATTATCGTATTAACCTATTATCTTAGTATGCCTGAGAGCCAGGAAAATGCTTCAAATCATCCGTTATATCACCAATTTTGACGTTTAGGTCTCTCAACAAGTTGATTAAGTCCTTAACTAGATATTTCTTTAAGATCGACTGCAACCTCTCATACAACTGATCTTTACCGCCTCCACTCTTATGCTTGGTGAATGCATCGGACTGTATGCTTTAATGATCCTGGATCCATGAAAGTGTTTTTCGTGCTTCTTTGGACAACACCGATGCAACTATTTGTATAGTGAGGCATTTTCTTCTTCATGACCAGAGTACAACAACATCTCTCGAGAAGCTATTCTTTTCTGTCCAGCTTGCGTGAAATGTATTTCACTATTTCTGAACACTGCTAGGTTGTATCTTTCCATCTCCACAGCTGTTTAACCAGTCCTTTCGGTCTTCCACATTATCCAAATATTCCGTCTATCTATGCTAATTGTTGTTCAGGTTGTTAGAATGGAAAGAAGCTGTGTAACTTCCGAAAATTCCCAGCTTTCACAACGAGGCGTCATAACTCTTCTAAATGAAAATTTTTTAACTCTCAGAGGAGTGTTCAAGTGGTTTAGATCATTTTTCCTGGTTATCGTTTTTAAGCATAGTTTTTTTATGCTGGATGAGGTTGCTAACAACACGCCTAACCCTCCTCCTTTACCCGGGTTCTGGACCCCAGTAACCCAAGAAAGCCCCTCAGTGGGGGTATTTTGAATTAAGTTGATACTAAGGATATGTGATAAATGCTTTGTGAAGTAGGAGAACCGAATAACTGATATATATATATATATATATATATATATATATATATATATATATATATATATATATACTGGTTACCTCACATTTTAAGTCATGAATTAATTGTGATATGATGGAAAGAAAAGTCAGTTTTCCATTGATTTACCCTTCGCTGAAATTCGTGTTTTAATTTTAATATTTAAATGGGAACTATCTGTCAAAATGTAGTATTTGTTTCCTTTTCTCGTATGATATTTTATTCTGTAAAATATGCGATGTTATTGTATTCAATGGACATGAACTATGCTCAGCAAGTGATTTGTTATAACTAAGTATTTTTCATATATGTGATTTCATCCTAATTAATAATAAAAATGAGTGTACAATCAATACACAAATGAGTGTATTTTCTACTAGAGTTGTCGTCGTCGTATTTTGGGGTTAATAAATCATCACTTATACCAGTTTTTGTGTTCTTACTTTCGCGTCGTGGTAATTGCAGAGGTCCCTCGTTCCGAGTGTAAATGATAAGAGTTTCCGACATAACAATCAGCGAAGACCAGATACAAAAAGTAGCATTAAAAGAGATAAGACAATAAACATTCAAACGACAAGATATAACAAATTGAAGCTAGACCACCATGGAAAACCTGGAAGCACTGGACAGCCGTTTCGTCCTAAGATTTCAACCACTGAAATTACTGTAATATCCACAAATACCGTTCTGTTATTACTATGTGTCGATGCACAGAGAAAATAATTTTCTACTATAACTCATTTCTATGTTTCAGTGAAATAACCTCTTTAGTCGTTCAAGTTAGACAGGTAATTAATTAATTCTATTAATGAATCATTTTCTATAACTCAATAAAACAAATGAACTGCAATTATGAATATAGTCAATTCAATCACTTAATATATATTTGTAGAGAATAATTAAAGAATTGAAAAATGAAATCTCACTGTCTTTCAATTATTATATTTTTACATCTATGTTAACAAAATCAGGACAAATAAATTGTATATAATAGAAATGAATATTCAATACTACATTTGTATTATTCGTAATAAAAGAAAAGAACTGCTAGTACAGTATTAATCAGTATACACTCTATCTATAAAGAAAATTTCAAATAATTTAAAGAATTCCAACTGATTCATGTTGTTTCCAATTTTGTTTCAATGGTGTTTGACATAAACTAGAGAATTCCTCTCTATTGGTTGGTTTATTCACTTCTATATTATTAGATTTTAGTGTATCCTCAGATGTAGCACATGAAAGATTAGCTTGTACACCTTAAATATTTAAATAAAAAAAGTTTAATCCAATTTTAAAGATAAAGTAACTGGCAATATCATTACTTAATAGTTGTTCAAGAATCATAAATAAAGATGGTGTTGAATATTTGTAGCTCAGGTGGATGATTATGATGGAGTTTTGTTTTCTGAGCTGGATGGTTTGATCGTGGAGCTCCAAACAAATATAGGAACAAAAATCAAATCAATGGGAGACACAACCAAAACAAAGAAGTAAACAATGACAAATTAAAGGTCAATAAGAACCAATCAACGTCGAGGTGTACAGAACAAGCTGTGAAACACATATAGAGAAATTAGAACACTTCACTTCTATCTGAAGTTTGTGCTGATGATGTCGTTCAGAAGAACGATGAAAGCTCCACGACCAAACCATCCAGCTTAGAGAACAAAACTCCATCACAATCATAAATAAACTTTAATTGGTATTAATACTTGAATATTTCTCCTTAAAACATCAGTTTAAATGTTTTAATAAAGATACTTACGTAGGTTTTATTTAGAAGATTTTATACTTGTTTGATAGTAAACATAATATAGTATGATTTGATGAAAGAGAAATTTAAGTCTAAGACTATGACTATTCTGTCATGATAATACATGTTGTCTATAAAAACCAAACACGTTCTATCATGTTATGTATTCTACTTAGTTTGAATGGAGTAAATACCTTCCTCTCTTATTCATGATTGAAATAATGAAAATGAACAGATTGTGAGGTTTTTTTAATGTCTGAAAGAAAAGTGCCTTATTGATTTATGAATCATTTTTTTATCATAGAATCAACCAATTTTCAGCTAACACAACGATTAGACGTTCATATTATGTTCCTTAATCCCCTTTCAAATCTTTATAGAGTAGTCATCATTAAACTGTTTCGTTAATAACTATATTTTATTAAGTTTTTTAGGGTTAGTGTTTTATGTTCGATCATTTCACATTCCGAACAATCTGATTACACATTCTATACTTGTTAAGAACATTTATATATGAAAATAAAAGGTCAAGGGGTAAGAGGAGACAAAGATAATAATAAGAGTAATAACAATAATGTGAACACAATTTGAAACCTAATCACTCTGGATAATAAGCCAATATTACTACGGTAGGTTTAAGGTGAGAACAAACCACAAAAGCCGAGTTTAGATCAATCTTAGGGCCTGTTTCGATTATACATTTAGCAAAAGACGATGATGGATGTTTATCCTCAAGTCTTATTGGGTCACTTGATACTATTTATCCCTGCAACCATTTTGGTACATGTTCAAACACCCTAATTTGTTTTGATCCTATTTAGAAGTTAGACATATAGACCACTGGATGTCGGCTAAGTGACTTAAAGTTTAAGCATTTCTCGCGACACCTGAAAGTTTTTGGTGCGATTTTCGGTGGGGTCATAAATTGATACGATTTTGTACTAAACTTTGGAAATTTAATCATTTTTATGTAAAGTTCTAAATCTTAATTTAAAAAATGTATCAATTTCATTCTTTTTAAAAAGTTGGTTTATTGACAATCGATATTTATCAGAACTGTATCTCGTCGATTATTTTGTAATTACACCGAACACAGACTGTCAGAATACTTTTATGGGATGTTGAGACAACAAAGAATCAAATGCCAAAATATTCATGTATTCTATTAGTTGAAATATTCCAGTTCAGATACTGATTTATTGAAATAAATTGTTACTATTGTTATTCAACCAAATGAGGTTTATATGAAGTTGTTTTTGTATTCAAATCAATTATGTTACTCGAATGTTAAATATATTTGGTATTCATTGATTAAATGTGCAGATTATTCCACAATAGGCAAATTGACAATACACAGTCCACAACACGATTTTTAATAATACATTTAACAATAATCATTTACTTATATGCTTACCTCTGCTGTGCGTTTCGCTCATATTATCCATTTCACCAATTACTAAACGATCTGTTACGGTACAACAATTTTGTATATTCTCGTCTTCCACTGTTTCATTGAGGCTCTAAGAGGAGGACATTTGTGTCCAAGTTATTACAAACATTACAAACATTGCAATTATAATTACTGATAAGTTAAGTTTGTTTATGGGACTTAATTAGTGAAGGGAATATCTTTTTAATTTCCAGCTAGTCATTCTTCATGACATTTGGAAGTCTTTGACACTGCTTGTTTATAAAACATTGTTTTGCTAGTCGTTGAAAATCAAGCAGAATGTGTGAAAGTGGTCTGGTTGTGTGTAGAAAATTATCTTCAAATGATTAGTTATTCACTCTAGTTCGAGCAATTCAAAATTGATGTGGCTAGTCAATGAATGTCCCATCATTATTGATACGAATAAACAAAGTCGTGAATTCTGCCAAAGCATTCAACTACCCAGTGGAGGTACATGTGAAATTCAAGTTTAAAACAAAGATTTACCTAAAGTATCTAAAGGCAATATCGAGGCATACGCACAGTATGCACATATGCCAATAAGAGACTAATCAATTTCAGTCCTAAAACATCAATGGGAAGATTCAAGCAAAACAATACCAAGTGAATTTTTCTAAAGTACAGTTTTATTATTATCACAAAAGATATGTATCTATGCCTAGATATATAAGCTAGTTACAAATCTCAACTCATGAGATAACTTTGGTAGTTAAAAGTTCCTTATCATGTAAAAGAAAACTCTTCCTCCAACAATTACACATTGGTTGATCACAACACTATAGCTTAAGTGACTACCGGTAGTTGTGTCTAAGGTCAATACTGTGAATGAACAGTCGAACTGAGGCTAATTGGAAAAAAAAGTTATGGAAGTTATTGCACTCAAACATAAATTCAAGGAATACACAATAACTGGAAGTAGTTGTTAAAAGTGTCGAGGGTATACAATTACTGTAGTAAATTGAATGTTACTGGCTTGTGTTAATACTATGACAAGAAATATACATCACACTGTATTCTCAAAAATCATTGATGATAAACTGGTTACTTTACATAATTAAGTAGTATACAGCGATAAATAAATAACATTGAATAAGAATAAACTTATGACAATGAAAACAAATTTAACTAATGTAGTAGTCGCTTAATAATGACCAATGTTAAAATGTATCTCTTTAGCTTGTCGGCATGACATCTTAGTTCCTACTCAGTGATTTACAAAATATACTCCTAAATTCATTAAATATTTAGATATAAAAAAATCATTCAACCATGAACAACGTTAAAACTAATTGAAATCATAAAGACTTGAGGTGGTGATTGCTTACCAACATTCCTTTTCTGAATATTCTACCGTGTTCAATAATCGGATTTAATAAGTAACTTTTATTTTACCTTAAATCCTTGAATAAAATGTAGACCTTTGAAAATCTTATTATCTGAATGCAAATGTACTTTTTTTCTCATGAATAAATAATAATAAAGAAAAAAGATTTATATTGTAAAGGTAAGGTGTAATAGAAAGGTGATATATTCCATAAGTTTAATTATTTTATAATAATCAGCTTGTTATTCTGTTAGTTGATCAACCAAATCTTTTGACGAGGAAATGTTTCGAATTTTATATCCCATCTACGTAAGACCACATTTAGAGTACTGTATCCAAGCAGCTAGCCGATGTCTGGTAAAGGATACTAACTCACTTGAACGTGTCCAGCGTGTGGGAACGAAATTAGTGAAGGGTCTTTCTAAACTCCCTTACGATGAGCGTTTAAAACGCTTCAACCTTTTCCCCTTGTCGTATCGTAGGACGCGAGATGACCTTATACTGGCATTTCGTATCTTTAATTATGATTTGGGTGTTAATATGTTTTATCTTTTTGCTCCCTCCAGCACTAATAATCTCCGAGATCATGGCAAGAAGGTTCATAAACCGCGATCATCGAGTAGTCAATGATTGGAACGCCTTACCCGAACAAGTGGTATCAGCCCCGTCAGTGAATATTTTCAAGGAGAAACTGAACCTTCACTGTAAGGCAATCTGTCAGGATTAACACAGGTTCACCAACCTACTATCCTTATTACTGAAGACATTTTAATAATGTACTTTATATTTTCAAAATTATAACTTACTATATCATTATTTGATAATTTTTCCCTTCTAGACCAATGTATATCCGTATTAGTTCTATAAGAATTACCTCCAGATTGTTTAGTATCAAAATACATATTTTGATGAGATAATGCAGTAGACACTAGACTAATAATCAAATTTTTCTCTCTATAAAAGAATATAACCAAATATTTACAATAGATTTTGTGAGCTTATTTGTACTTTTCTATTATGTATGAAGCGATCAATCAATTAATTTAAGTGATTCAACTGGTGATATGTACTAATAATCGTATATCTCTCAATGACTCACAGCACAACGATATTCGATACTTGTATTAAAAATAGTAAGAATTCCATTATTTAATGAACTTTATCAACTAATCTCTTAACCTTCCATTCAGGAAACTTGAGGTTGTTAGTTATTTAACTATTACTACTATTACTACTACTACTACTACTACTACTACTACTACTACTACTACTACTACTACTACTACTACTACTACTACTACTACTACTACTACTACTACTACTACTACTACTACTACTACTACTACTACTACTACTACTACTACTACTACTACTACTACTACTACTACTACTACTACTACTACTACTACTACTACTACTACTACTACTACTACTACTACTACTACTACTACTACTACTGTAAATCAATGAAAATGGCACGGACAGTTCATTAAAAGTTAAGTGGCCTGATATATTTTTATACAACACATAGGAAGAACCATAATGACTCAGTGCAATCCCATTTATTATCTACCGACTATTCTATTGTAAACTGTGATAGTTCAAACAGAGTGACCATTCGTCCATTCTTATTGTTGGTCACTAAAACACCAATTTTATGATGTGGTATAAGAACTAGTACTGATCAACCTGGCTTATCTAAAAATAAATTGCGAAACGACGATGTATTTGGAAGAAGCGTTCATTGGGAAACGTTTTGGGAGTGAATGGTAGTGAGAATTTTCTGCCATATCAATAAGAAAAAGTGTTAATAAAAAGTCTGTTTCAAAATGTGAAGGAAAACGGTTCTGTATAAACTTTTCATGATGAACTTAAGTGCAATGAATAGTATTTCTTTGACGAACATGAAAGAATACAATAACAGAATATTATAACACAAATGAAGCTCTTCTTAAATAAGAATAATTTCAAATGAATTAACTTTACTGAAATATGATTCTGGCGATCAAAAATACGACATTTGTAGCCTATCAGACTCCTAAGTTGACTTCACTACACCATATACGTACAAACTTAAGTTGATATATTTTTACTTATCAGTCACTTTCACATAAATAAATTTGACTTACAAGTATGATAGTTTAAATCAAAATATTCTTTAAGTTTGAAGTTTCTATACGACATTTTGTGTTATATTCCTAATACTTACCTATCTGTTGCATTTTCTAACCAATGTTGTACTGCATTCATATCGTTTGTTTGAAGAATACTGCATATCATAGCAAATATTTGCATTTCATAATTACGAAATATTTCACTAACTGAAGTTGCATTTCTTAGACATTGACGTCGTTCACAACTCTATGGATTCATGTTGCAAGAAGTGAATGCATATTATTAAAAATCAGCAATAATAATAATAATAATAATAATAATAATAAACAAATGACTTTATTGATTTAGTAAAATAAAAAAATCAAATCAAACTTGGCATATTGTCTTTAGAGTAAATTATCTCAGTTGTTATGGGAGTATCCTTGAATTTATTAGTTCAGTTGTATAAAGGGTTTTCATTATTCTTTTATATTTAAGTTGTTCATTAGTTGACTGGTTTACATGTGAATTTGAAAAAAATATACACTATATCTCAGTAAAGTGGTCATTAAGACTTGAGAATTACGCTAGAAACACAGTAGTCATAGTTCTAAAACAGCTTATATTGACATTTATTGAGCACCTCTTAAAATACTTATCAATTAGAGATCATATGGATCCATTAAGAAAGGAAACCAACCTAATCTAGGATTATGGAATTTCAAATCGTCAAAAATTGCAAACGGAGTCGAAAAGTCAACTTGTAGATAAATAATTCTTTCCTAAAGTTCATTACAAATCAGACAACACTAGGGAGTAAACATAAGCTTCAAGAAATGTCACTATGTTCATGTAATATAGACCTAGATATAGTAAGTGAATTAATAAACTTTGTAGGATCTGGAACAGTTTTGATAAGTAAATTTACAGAGAAAACGTAAACATTCAATGTGTTTATTATAATTCAGAGACGAAAACGAACGACTCAGTGTGTAATTCCTGTTACCAGTTTCCAGACAGCGAAATCCGACCTAAGGCCTCCTGGCGGTGCTGCTGGACAGTAGGAGCAACCTTGCTAGCTAACTTGGGCGGTTGGTGAAGATCAGACTAATCTATCTTTCCTATGCTGAAATTGGGTTACTCGGAGTTCACTCTTCGTGACGAGCTGCCCAACGTGTATAGTCGTGTATGTATGTATATGTAAACGACACTTACCAAGGTCACAAAAGGAACGTGAGCCGATTTGTCCTCCCCATGTCTCATAAAGTCAGAGGCCTAAACCGTCAAGTCGAAGATATAATAAAAAGATATGGTAGGAAATACGAGAGAGCGGTGAATATCAACATTCCCTGAGAGATTGTTTATGCTCATCTGTATGCCATGAAGATTGGATAGACGGAAGTCTTTGTACCAGTGATATGCATGTAATGCGTATCACTCAGCTTTAACAAACACGATCGAAGGAATCGGTGAATATACCTATATGTATGTTATGGGATGCAGTACTGAAAACTTGTGCGTTTTCGGTGAGCATATTACGTATATTTGTTCACAGGGTAAGTATATATACATGTACACCGAGGGATGTATGGGTGAAAACTTGTGTATTACCCGTATGCATGTAGATTATACTTGCCCTTGGTGTGGCGTCCGCGCGCCAAGACCTGAGGTAACGATTTGCCCATAAAATCACATTCATGTGGTGGGTTTGTAAGGTTTGAGAAACGAAAACTTTCTAGAAAAGTCCATCGGCTTCAAGAGATAAGGCTTGACCAACCTTAACAGGGTTGGAACATCGTACCCATTCGCAATTAAATATATGAACCTCTGTAGAATAAAAATGTGATTTATGACATAGAAATACAAAGTAAACATCTGTTAAAGTGTTTAGAAACAACCAACCATCCATGCAGATTAAACAAAAGTTGATCCTGAAATGTAAGATTCAACAAAATTGGATCGTTTTCTATTATCATACCCTATCAGAAAGGCATATGAGAATTTATACAAAGAATAACTAGTTGTAATGAAAAAAAGTTTTAGTTAAGTCAATAAATATTTTTGTTGCAGATGCTTGACTTGAAAACTGTAATCTGAAGTAACTCTAAATATAAGAGATGATATGAGTAATGCAGAAAAAACGAAGTTGTACACCATTACTGAATAGTATCAACTTCACCAAAGCAAAAGATGATTAAAATGTTTGAAAAAGTCAAATGTAACAAGTAGCTTGTTTAGAAATCATCTAAGAAGATATTGAGATATAATAAGAGGTTGATGCACAATATAATAATTTCAACAACACTTATTTATTTTACTTGTTACCAGGTCAATAGACAAAAAGTGATAATTTTCGTATATTCACAGTTTAACAGACTTTAATCAACTTAATTTTAGATCAGGTAATTGTTACTACAAATATCTTTTCAAGGATTACACAGTTACTACACACATGTGTCAAATCGAAAACGCTATTAACAACGCAACAACAATTTCAGAAGGGGTTTTGTGGATACTATAGTAATTTCAATAGTTGAGTTCATGAGGCAATTCAAGCTAGACAGTCATGGAAGCACTCGACGGCCATTTCGTCCTACTGTGGAACTCCTCAGCAGTGCATATCCACGATTTCACTTCGCGAGACCCGAACATAGGTCCTATCGGTCTGGCGAGCGAACGCTTAACCTCTAAACTACTGAGCCGGCATCCAATCATGTTAATGTCTAACTTCAACTAAACCACGAAATTGAGCGACACATCCACCATTGTCTTCAGTAAGTTACAGACCCGGTTGAACTCCACTGGTCACTGCTTCTCACTATCACTTCAGGAAGTACCTCTTGAAGACAGTCACTAGTGAGCATAGGTTGATTAATATCAAAACAATAATTGTCTGTAAGTGCAATATTGAACAGTTACAAACAAAATGGGATAGAAATTTCGTGAAAGATTAATGAATATCTAATTTTGTTTCCTGTACCGACTTTTTGACATACAGAAAACATTTTTTATACTGAAGGTTCTTTATATTAAAATCTCTTTTATTCTTTTTAAAATGTTAACATTAGTTAAAGAAAACATAGATTAATATCAGAAGGGGTTTTGTGGATATTATAGTAAGTTTAATAGTTGAGATCATGAGTCGATTGAGGCTAGATCGCCATGAAAAACCTGGAAGCACTGGGAAGCCGTTTTGTTCTATTGTGGGATTCCTCAGCAGTTCGCATCCACGATCCTGCCTCGAGAGATTCGAACCCAAGACCGTGGATGCGCGCTGTTGAGGAGTCTCACAGTAAGACGAAACGGCCGTCCAGTGCTTTCAGGTTTTCCATGGTGGTCTAGCTTTAATTGACTCATGATCTCAATCATTAAAAAAACAGATTTGTAGGATAAGTGCATTTATCTATTAACTGGACTATGAAAAATAGTGTAAATTATTATTTGTATAAACATGTCAAATTTTTAATAAAGATTACTTCGAATAATTCAACAAAGTATTTTCTTTCTTACTTAATGTTGTCAACCTATTGTAAAAACCATTATATAAGAAGATATAATTCAATGAACATGGATCATCGCTATTGGGATAATTTTTAGCATTATTGTACGACTTTGTATGGAATATTAAACTGTTGACAAAATAAAAATATCCTTCAATACTATCATCCCTGGATTTCACTGCTTGTCACATTCTATGTAATGGCTATGTTGGGGCATTCCTCATAAGATCCACATACACCACAAAAGATTGATTAAAATTCAGTTGAAACATTACTAATGGGATTATCGAAACCATCACAAATTCAATACTAGCCTTTAGTCGTTATATAACATTCTTGAATATCAAAATTAATTGAAACCAAAGTAATTTACTTTTTATTCAAAATATCTCCAGCTAACCAATCTAACCTCGAAATGAAGTACTGGTTGATAGATTTCAAGGTATTTAAGCTGATCAGATTGCCGAATTATTTTATAATCAATTCATCGTAGATTTTATAAGATCCATAAATTTTTGAGAGAATAAGTATTACTGTAACAAGATAGTGACTTTAAAATTGGAATATTTGACCACACAAAGTCAGAGTTTTGAGTTTTGTTGATAAATAGTGAGAGCTCGTCTAATGCTAAACAACACAGAACATGATACCTCCATAGTGGTGAAATCCTTAAAAAATATTCATTCTTTGTATTGACATTCTGGTATGTAGGTATAAATGATGAAATAATTAGACTTATTTGGTTTTCCACTTCATTTAGGGATTCACTAGAAACATTTGTTTCTTTCTAGCTCGATACCTTTCAAAAATAAACATCATCACCACACCACGAATAGAAGCTGTAAAGTTAGGAATGTAGACCGACTCAGAAGTTCAGTGGTAACAAACTCATCGTAATACCTGATGGCTATATCCCCGGTCACTGATAAGACCATGTGTGGTTATTTCTAAGGAGTCTCAAAATGAAATAGATCAGCTATCCAAAGTCTCGCATTTCTTCACTTGTTGACCATAGAAATACTAGTCTAATCAAATCATTCTTATATTAATTTACTGAAGTAGAAATAGTATTAAAATTACTTAATAATATCATTGGTGCAATTTTTCAAATACAATTTTAGCATTAAGGAAAATCACTTGAAATTTTCATTGTGAGTTAATTTTTTGCTTTATTGAATTAAAACTAACCATTTGAGTTTTAAGCTTTCTCATAGACTATTTTATTAATTTCACATCATTTCCTAAAGAAATAGAGAAAGTTATCAACTACTCATAGTCACCACAATACCGAAAAGTGTCCTTATTGTGTCGTTAATAGTTTACTAATAATTTATTCCTCATTAAACATTTGGCAAACGAGCTTACAGATGACTGATTTCTTGTACGCGTGTATCTACTGTCGTTAGTTGGAGGCAATAAACGGCCTGTTTTACTTGAGTAAAGAGGTTCATGTAATACGTTTTGATTTTTGTTCATCTTTTCTGAAATTTGATTGTTCATTTTAAACGGAATCTTTTCATCTATACTAGAAGGTAGATAATAAGAGTTATTTCTGTTCAAGGAATTATTGAGACGATCAGAATGTTGGTCATAGTTGATGTCATCTGCCTGTATTGGAATCTGTAACTGACCTGAAGTGGAAAATGAAAGAAATTTATGGGGAAATATATGGGAAATATGAAGAACGTAAAGTTAATTTCTTACCATCTAAAATGGTTTGGAATACAATGGACAGGTTGGATGCAACTAGACAACTTGGACTTTGCAGATGACCTGGCCCTTCTATCCCATACACGCCAAAAAATTCAGGTGACGACAGCCAGTGTGAAAGCAGCAGCTACTGAATCAGTAAGCCTTGATATACACAAGGGAAAAAGCAAGATCCACAAATACAACACAGAGAACATCCGAATCACACTTGATGGAGTAACTCTGACTGCTGAAAAGTTTTAAGTACCTACCGGGACAGCATCATCAATAAACAAGCAGAATTAAATGCACGTAAAATGTCGAAGATTGGCAAAGCAAGGACATTATCTCTACAGTTGAAGAACATATGGAACTCCAAACAACTTTCAACCAATATCAAAGTTAGGATCTTCAATACGAACGTCAAGGCAGTTCTACTGTATGGAGCTGAAACTTGAAGAACTACCACAACCATCATCAAAAAGGTACAAGTATTTGTAAACAGTTGTCTATACGAGATATTTCATGTCTGTGGACCGGATACCATCCGCAACAGCGTACTTTGGGAGAGAACAAATCAACCTCCATCTGAAGAGGAAATGAGGGAAAGACGATGGAAGTGGAGAGGACATACATTAAAAAATCATCAAACTGCATCACGAAGCAAGTGCTAACTTGGAATCGTGAAGGGAAGCAGAAAAGAGGAGGGCCGAAGAACACATTACGTCGGGAATTGGAAGCAGACATCAAAATGCCGAATAGCAACTGAAAAGAACTGGAAAGGATTGTCCAGGACAGGGTTGGATGGAGAATAAAGATGAGAGGCCTATGCTCCTCCATGGGGGGGGGAAAAGGCGTAATTAAGTAATCTAAAATGGGTTAAGAAAACTAGAAGTCTAGTTGTAAGTAGTTGTCATCATCCACTGACATTTAAGAACGGGCTCATGATTCTTTTACAGTTTAGATTCTTTCAACTGATAACTTTTAGGTTTCATATTCACCAGTTAAATTCCACTAGCGCTTTAGAGCGTTCTGAAAAAGAATGAAACCTTAAAATAACCAAATTAAAAGAAGACTTTGTTATTTTGGAGAAGTAAGTGTTTGTTTCGCAGTAAATATATTGTTACAAAATAAGACTGGCTGAATTTAGGCAACACGTAGACAATATCAGAATGCTGGTTTGTCGGGACTGTAGTAATTTTAATGTTTGAATTGATGAGTCGATTTAAGCTAGACTACTATTGAAAACCTGGAAACAATGGATCACCATTTTGTCCTAGTATGGGGCAAACAATTCAGAGTGTAACGACCTATCTATTGATTTAAGTAAAAGATTTGAAACTAAATGTCTTCAGCTATTTTGTACTACTTTCTACTACTAAGTAGTTGACTCTTATCCTAAAAATGTTCATGATTCAGGAATTAGAATTGATCTCATCTCTTATTTGCATTAATATGTGAGATTGAATGAATCTTGATCAACAATCTATCGTTTGCATGTAACTTAAGGGTCAAAATGGACTTCTTAAACCTTGCATCAAAAGTTCAAAAGATAAAACCTAATTGCATTAAGTATGATAATTTAAACTGAAGATGGTATTTTGAGAATTGAAAGTTAATCTTTCAAATCTTTATGTTGAAAAGCTAACTTACTCGCCATAAAGATGGGCATACCTGTAATCTGTTTCCAGTTGTATCTTATAATAACGAGAAGCCATAAATTGGGTGAAGTCAAATGAAAGCGCAGTACCTACGTTTTATATACCGGAATTATTTTAGTGTTCACAATCGAAACATAGTTCGCATCGATCAAATTGCAAGGCGAAAAGACTGTTGATTATTCGGTGAACGCTTAGTTTGACTATAAATGAGTGGTTGAAAGAAGTCTGTTTTTAAAAAATGTTCTAATACCTCATCACAATGCATCTGCAAACTGTTGATGTAGTTACTAAACTGTGTTAAACCATAATGATTATAAGGTAAAAATCACATTGAACTCATCGATTAAGAGTGATAAATTTGTGTTCATAAATAATATGGAATGAACTTAGTATTGAAGTGCAAATTTTACGCACGATTTTGTAATGATAGTATTCGAGCCTTACAAATGAATAAAGTCTGCCCTTAATGAATGTGTATATTTTAGTTCACCAGTATATCTTTATTAAGTTAGAATTATCAGTTTCAAAATGGTGGTACCAATTGCATTATCGTCTCTGTGCCCGAACACACGATGCCGAACCTCTGCATTATTAACATGGTGTTGCCACTGGATGTCAGTAATCCTTCGGAGACAGCGATGATCGAACACAGAGAGTCGTCTAACGTCCTCAACTCGGAGAGGCCAGGTTTCACAAACATAGAGCAAAACTGCTCTCACCGACGAGTTGTAGATCCGACCTTTTACGGCCAGACTAACATCACGAAGGCGCCATAGATGGCCCAGATTGGCATAAGCCGCTCTGGCTTTCACTATACATGAATTGATCTCATCACTCACACCCCCACCAGCACTTATGCAGCTACCCAGATACACGAACTTCTCAACTACGTCTATCTGCTCACCATCCAGGGTGAGTACAGGATTAGAATCCTGCCAGTCTTGTAGAAGTACTTTGCACTTCGAAGGTGCAAAGCACATGCCATACTTACGGACACTGATTGCCAACTGATTAAGTGCGGATTGCATGGCTTGGGCATTGTCGCACAGTAAGATAATATCATCTGCATACTCAAGGTCGAGAACGCTTTCTCCAGGCAACAGATCCACACCGCCATTACTTACATTCATCAGAGCTGTTTCCAGAATGTCATCGATGGCAAAGTTGAAGAGGAATGGTGAGATTGAGCAACCCTGCCTAGCCCCACTGCTCGAATGGAACAATGGAGAGAGGTGGTTGTATGCCTTCACTGTGCCTGAGGTGTTTGTATATAGGGCCTTTAAGATGTTAATAAACTTTGCAAGCACACCCTCCTTCAATAGACAATCCCAGAGAAAAGTCCTGTCCGACGAATCGAAGGCAGCCTTGATATCAAGAAACACTACGATTGTTGGCCTTTGATAAGTATGACGGTGTTCTAACATTTGGCGACCAGAACGAAACCCAGCCTGCTTCATTCGAGTCAATATTTCTCGGGTTTTGAACAACCTACGAAGTATGACAGAAGTCAACAGCTTGGACTCAATCGGAAGTAGACTTATCTCCTGATAGTTGTTACAGGAACGATGTGGTCCCTTTTTAAAGATAGAAACAACTATCGACTCATTCCATGACGTTGGTACACTCTCTAGTTCCCAGACCTTTGTAAACAACGTCGTCAGTTCCTTAGTCAGAAATTCACCACCATCTTTAAAAAGAGCCGGAGGTAAGTCGTCTGGGTCCGGTGATTTGTAGCGCTTCAAGAGTTGGAAATCCTTGAGGGCTTCCGCCTCATTTGGTGGATCAGTCATCATTGGCCATGGAGAGCAGGACAGTCCGACCGATGTTGCCGGAGCAGTAGGCCAGTTGAACTGCCCTTCGAAGAATTCTGCCCATCGTCCAAGACGTCGATGGATGTTAATAATTGGCATCCCGTCATCCTCGTAAATTGTTTTGCTAACACCAGACTTCTTGCTGCCAGTGGCTCGGACGAGTTGGAAGAGCTTCCGGTAGTTACCAGATGCAGCGGCTGCTTCCAGATCATGGTCACGCTCCGACCACCAGGCTTCTCGGTCCTTAGGCAAGCTTTGGTCAATTTCATTACGTAACATCCTTCGTTTTTGGTCGAACTCACAGTTACCCTGAGTAGACCGACGAGCTTCGATGAGTTGTAAGGAGCCTGAAGAAACCAAATGCCTATAGGCGGGGAGTATCGCGAAGCCATAAGCGGCTTAGTGCGACATCAACGCAAGCAAGACCAGACGAAGGCGTCACAGGGTCCCTGCATAAACGCATATAAAACAAGCTTTTTGAAGTGACAGATGGAGAGCGAATTTGTAGTACTTCACCAAAGTCTTGAATACGGGTCTCGCATAGACAACAAACATCAATTTTAAGACTTTCCAAAGACATAGCCAGCCTTATATGTTGTCCGACCTGCATAAGTGTGCGAACGTTGAAGGCATCCAGTTTGAATGGTTCACGTGGTTTCAGAAAAACTGCTTCAGTATTCGTGTTTGGTGGTAGCATACAATTTTAAACTAGGCAGTGACTCGAGAACGTTTAGATAGAACCGACTTTCCACGATTGGCGAGCTGCTGTATTAGTCGAAAAATAAGGATAAACAGAATGGGAATAAAAGAGAGTGAATAAATGACGTAAATAATAATAATAATGTGAATCGTTTGATTGTTGATCGAAGCAAGTCAAGTATTTTCCATAATTATCGACAGTTCATCATATTTGTGTGTGGGCCGTGATACTATCCGGGTGCCCAGACCGAAGCAGGTGGTTTTCTTAGGGGGCCTTTCCCCGAGCCTTTGACCATGGTAGCCGGTGACCAGGAAATTGGTCCATACACAATTTGTTCCCTCAGGATACTGGAGCCCATGCGCACCATTGATTTGGTTTGGGATCCGGTTAAAGAGCCGGACATTCGCTTTTCGTCCTCTCATTTTCGTAAACAACATCCCCGCCATGAGAAGGCAGTGGGTAGGACTTCCCTGGCAGAGGCTGTATACGCGTGGCCGTGTGATAGCATTTCGAGAGGGAGGGTGGGCCCACCCCACTCTCGGCCATACCAGGGCATTTGGAGGCCCATAATTTTTCATCAAATTCCTACTCGGTACGGAATCAAGAGGTTAAACATCAGATACATATATACGTTAAAATATTCTTAAAGAATATTCGTTTTGAATAAAAATTGACTTAAATGAATACGAAAACTCAAAGCAAAATCATTTATAAAAACTTACTTAAAATACTTCCAGTAATATAACCTAATTCACTTTGCCATTTCATTCGACGTTCTGATAATTCTTTATTTAATAAATTTATATGTTGCCTTTCATTTAAATATTCTTGTGATTGTTTTAATTCTTTTAAATAATTCATTTCAGATTCAATTAATGGACCAATAATTGGTGGACGTTCACGTACAGAATAATTTCTTAAACCTGTAAAATATTTCAATCCATTAATAGTATCTAATTGAGGAATTTTTCGACATGTTAATGATATAGGAAGAATACCAACAGGAACATGATGTAAACAATAATTGGATTTCCATGATTTATTTAATGTATCATTAGAAATATTATTATTTTTTAAATTTAATTTTAATGAATTATTTACTAAGTAATCTGTATAATAACTTGGTGATAATCCAACCGGTAAGTTAGTACGTTTTCTCAAATCCAAAGAAGAATTATTATTTCGTTGAGTTAATAGAATATTGTCATCTGTTAAAATTGGATCATGTACTACACGTACAGGTAAACCAAGAAAACCAGTAAAATATGTTACTCTTTGAGGATGAGGATTATGTCGTCCAGAATAATTATGAAGATGATTTATTTCTTCATTATTATAGTTAGACATTTGACTCGTTTCAATTCTAAACGATTTTGATTTGTTTCACTTAAATGAATACCACACAAAATAAATTTAGTCGGAAAAATATATCAAAAAAAGATCAATATTTTCTAATTTACGGATCACGTTACTTTCAAATTAACAAAAACAAGTTATATCGAATAGTTATTGGAAGAGGCAGATATCTCACATAAATATGACCTTAGATTCAGTTTGTAAAAAAAGTGTAAACTTGAATAAATATATAAATAAACAGACAGATAATAAACTATTGATTAGTATTTTCTTATTCTCAATCAACTGCAGTTGCTAGCCGTTTTTGACATTTTACAATGAACTGACTTTGAATAGAAAGTGAAATGATAGAATATTCTACCATATTGTTTTATATACATATACTACATAAAGTCAACTAGTGACTAATTTTGATGATTAACATCCAGAGTTCCAGAGAAAAGTTGTGGGTTAGGGAATTCAACCTTGTAGAATAAGAGGCAGTTGATCACCAACGATATTGGGAGATAGTTAACCAATGTCACAAATTGATTGGAGTTAGACTTGTACACGGTTGGATCTCAGCTCAGTGGCTTAAAGGTTAGATGTTGCTTCTAGACCAAAAGGTCCTGAGTTCTATCTATAAAGAGATCGCGGTGCAAACTGTTGAGAAATCTAAATAACTATCCAAATACATCATAGTTTTCACTGATTATGTAACTAAGTGTGTCTATTATGTTGCTATAGAAGACTAACTGTTAAATAATAATTTTATATATTCTGAAAATAATAATTTCAGAATTCACGCCAGTTTACGGGCAGGATCAGTTTGATATAAATAGTAACATTAGATGTACAGAACAAACATGTGATAGAAGAAAGTTTTAAGTATACTAGTTCAGTAATTGGTTAAGCAGTACATATATTACAGCGATCCAATGCATCAGCCGGGAACTTTTAATTTTTCTTAAATGAACAGCCTGTTAATTTATGAACGGTGTAATTAAGGTCATTTTGTGTGCCAGATCGAATTAATGATAATTATCTACAACTAGAGAAATTAAAACGAAAACAGAGAGCACGGAACAATAAAGCAGTAATTACCAAAACATGTTAATCAGGTCTACCAAAATGCGTGTGTCATGTGACACAGTGATATACTGTTGATGTTATTCAAATTAGTTAAATTTGCTAGGGACGGTTTGATCATAAAGCGAAAGCAAATAGGTGGTTTTACTTAGAGAATGCACTAATAAAAATGGTTAAACAATTAAAGTTCCTATAATATCACTTGTGGAATCAGGTACACTTACAGGTGCTAGAACATTCAATGCATTTTCAGAGGAGCAGTACGCATCGATGCAGCGAACAAATAATGGGAGTGATTTTATCGTACGGATAGATTGTGGTAGGTTATTCCAGAGTCTGGAAAATTTACAGGTGAAGTAATTCATATGAAGAGATGATTTAGAATAAGTTTGTTTCACTAGTGACAAGGAATTACGGATGTCATAATGAGAAGTTCTTGCATATTGAATCACTTGATTGAATGTAAAGGATAGTTTATTAAGTAGTTTGAATAAAAAGATAAGATTTAGTTCGAGTCTCCTCTTCCATAAAGGGTCTAACTCAAGTTGAATACGTCTAGAATTATAAGTTAAGGTACAATCAGCTCCAAGAATACGAAGTGTAAATCGTCTCTGTACTAATTCCAGCCTTAATTTATCCTTTATGCGCGCATTGCTAAGAATAAACGTGCAATATTCTAGAAGTCGTCGATCACAAACTTTGTACATTAGAATACGTGACTCATTGTTATAAAGGTTTCGAGTTATGTAACCTACCAGATGTTGAGACTTAGAGGTTTGTTTCAATATCTGTTCTGTAAACGACAAGTCTTGGGAGTATCTAAGTCCTAAGTCTACTACTGTATATAACCTAGATAACACTTCTCCATTTATGGTAATGTCTAGGTTGAGTGATGTATCGCCGAAGCATATCCATCCACATTTAGCCGTATTAAGCTCCAGTTGTCGTTTCAAGCACCACTGTGCTACCTTGTTAAGCTCCATGCTGATGCAATTTTGCATATTTTTCAGTCCATGTGGAGAAAATGGATATACTGCTTTAAGATCATCTGCATATAGAAGAAGCTTACCTACACAAAAATTTTCACAAATATCATTGATAAACACTAAAAAGAGCAAAGGGCCTAAGACACTACCTTGTATTACACCACTTCTAACAGGGATAGCGTTAGACAATGAAGAGTTAATTTTAACTACTTAATGTCAATTGCTGAGAAAGGAAGAAATCGTTTAAATATAAATTCATTAGGACATTACATTTCAACTTTTGCTATCAATTATGATAGAGAACATAAGAGTATTTTGTTGAGTTGTATAACTACGTGACTAAGCTAACAATATTTAAGTAGACAAATTTCATACAACTTAGAAGGCTGAGTATATTAGGTTAAACTAGATATTGCTGTTATTAAACTAATTTTGAATAATTCTGGATTATTGATGAAGCGAAGTTTGATTGTGTTTTAATGATTTGGTTATATATTGGATAAAGAAAGCCGACTTGACATTACAATCAAACTCAGTGCCTACTAAATACGCAATTAGAAACTTCCCATTTTGAAACTTCTTAAAGGCTGTCGCTTTTTAGTGTTTTCCTTCTGAAGAGAATCGTGTTTGAAAATAAAACCAGAAGATTTTGGTTTTTCACTTTAGTTTAAGGTCATATTATTCAAAACCTAATAAACAGCTAGTATTTGCTTCTCGTGATATCTTCTAATAATTCAATATAAATGTTTGTGAGACAAGATAACTTTAATCTTATTATAGGGAATTGTAGATATTTGTAAAATTTCATATTCTGTATCAGAGATTGACCTTAGTCTTGGAACATCAGTAAAAATAATTTAGGTAGTTAGCAGTTAAAAAATGAGGTAGCCTGAAAAGCTATTTCATCCTATCATGGGATCGCTAATCAGTGGACATACATAAACCTACCAACGATAAATAAATCAATGTGAATTCAAAAGTGGAAAACATGATAAGATCTTGAATAAAACAAACGAAACAGCTGGCACATAACAATTTGAATTCAGTTTTATTTCTTAGACTCTTACAAGCTCTCTACAACTATATTAATGTTGAAATATAACAGAATAATAGATAATGTTTATTGCAAAAAGTGAACTAAGCACCATATAATTTAGAAGCCTAATGCCTAATTAAATTACAATACTAGAAATAAAGAAACTAAAATAAGTAAATAGGTAGTGATCATATTAACTATAATGTATCAAATCTATGTTTTCAGTCAATAGATTTAAATATTTTAGCCTAACAATCCAAATGTATTCTAAGATCTGGTTTTCATTGACATCATAGTGATATATTAAGAAACAAACACTGAAATCGTATTAGATTAAGAAATAATGAGGATGATTACAAATGCAATAAAGTTTTAAATGTAAGAACTGGAGATTCAGCTGAAGTATTTTGAATTCATAGTGTCTCAAGAATTAATCCTTAATTATTCCAAGTTAAAATGAACAATACTCTGAGCCAATGTTTATGTTTATTACATAAGAAATGATTGAACAGATTATTTCATTATTCATAATTAATTAATTAAAAATACAATAGTGAATTGTAATAATCAATTTTATTCCCGATAAGAATAGTTAAGGTGATAAATGGTGTTTGTTTATGAGGAGTCCCATACTAGAACGAAACGGCCGTCCAGTGCTTCCAGGTTTTCCATGGTGGTCTAGCTTCAATTGACTCATGATTTCAACCTGTGAAATTTCTAAAAATCTCCACAAAACCCATTATGAAAATAAAAAATACAGTGTAAATCATGTCTATGACTTGATTTATAAAATAAAAATTCTGGTGTCGATTATATTTCCGATATAATAAATTATCTATAATACAGTGATATTATTAAAAGAAGAAGAGGAGGAAACATCTCAATAAGAAGTTCAATAATCGAATACCTTGTGAACATAGGTCATTCAATCAAGAGAGACTCTGCGTTCAAAGTCATCTACAGGGTAATTAAAAATCTTCGAAAGAAAACTATATTGTATTACCGAAGTAATAGCCATATATCTGGAAAAACCAGAATTGTGTGTCCAAAATAGATTGGCACAACCTCTCCTTCTACCATGGACTTAATGTCCTATAATTGTTTTTTCATACTATTCTTCCTTTCTAGCCATCTACTTCCCCTTCCATTTTCTCCTTTAATCTTCTACCCTCAACTGGTTTATTTCTGTTTCTACGATCCTCTTGATTACATTTAATCTCAATTTTAACATTTTATCTTATCAAGCTGAGCCATTCTTTCCCAATGATAATTTCCCTATTTATTTTTTGGGGGAAAATTTAAGCCATTAACAATCAAACGACTATTAGTTTCCCTAAGCGATAGCACGAAACGCGCATCCTGGATTCCACTGCTAGCCATTATCAATCCTTGCTTATAATGCTTGTGAATTAAAACAATATCGAGGCAATACGCACAGTATGCACATATGCTAATAAGACTGATCAATTTCAGTTCTAAACAACAACGGGAAGATTCAAGGAAAACAATACCAAGTGTATTAGTTTCCCTGTTTAAAATTTTTTTTGATACCTCTGTGTATTCTACCTTATATATATATGCGATTGTACAGTTTTGAAAATGTAGGTATCACTTACCAAGGTTCGATTTGATGATTTCGAATGTAGTGAACAAGAACACGAGTGGGAGACAGTCGAATGTATTTGACACGAAATTACAGAGCATCTCACTAAAATCTGGGAACCATATAGTAAACAGCTAATTTGCAAAATATCAATCCATCGTCTCAGATTTCATTGTTCATGCATTTTCATACTAATTACTTTCCGTTTCCACTCTTTCCTTTCCACTCTCTTCTAGTGAAATACATTCTATGCCTGACCACTGTTACATACTATTTATGTGGATATAAGTAACCCACATCACACACGTCCCTCCTTTAAAGCATTCGTTCTTGCGGTGCTTCTGCTCGCCGCGCCACTTTCTTCTTCTCTGCAGTCTGTGCCACATTCACCGCCGAAATGTCGAGTCTGCGGCGCGCTGACCTCCATAGCTCCATCGACTTGCCGGGGCACCAAAATCTGATATCCACCCGGCACCTGGGACGTCTAACACCCGTGCTCAACTGGCCTGCTGAGCCATCTACATCCGATGTCCGCCCAGCAGCCGCACATTCCACCGCTCCTCTCCTCCTACAGCACCAGCTGCACCCAACGGGGCCCCGCTAGAACACTCCACTTGACGCCACCTCTCCATCCCAGAGTGCCCCAACTAGCACCTCACCTCCAGGCCCGCAGCGGCGTCCTCAGAGCAGCACCCTTCCCCTCCTGGTTGGCAGCGACACCAAATGTACTGAACAGAACAAACGGGACAACAAGAATATTCTGACATACATATTACATATATATTATTTATTTTTGAAAATGAATTCATCCAAAAGAGAACTTTTCACCGAACTAATCTTTCTTATTCAAATGATCTCTTATGTAATAATCATTAATCAGGTGAAACTAATCCGTCGTTTTTTGCTTATCAGGAAAAAAAATAATGAAATATTTAAAGTGACATTTGGTTTATTACACTATGCAGTTTTTTTTCCTAAGAAAGATAAGATGTTATTCTAATGACAATATTACAAGACTGAAAATTCACACTTGACCAACTAAGTAATAAATTTTACATAAATTGATTATGACGTAAGTGTAATCAGATTTAAAGGTCATAAAAATTTATGAAGAAGAAACTAGTCATTTTTAAAAAAAATAGTTACTAAGGTAAATTATATATGATTATCATAATTAAAATTAGTTGACAATAATTCAATATAATTTGGTCAATATCAGAAAGAGATTTTTATGAATATTATAGTAATTTCAATCGTTGAGATTATAAGTCAATTGAAGCTAGATCATCATGGATAATCTAGAAGAACTGGATGATCATTTTATCTTATTGTGGGACTCCTCAGCAGTGCAAATCCATATCCAGTGCTTCTAGGTGTTCCATAATGGTCTAGCTTTAATTGACTTATGATCTCAACTATTAAATAATTTGATCAGTTGGTTGTAATAGATATAAAGGAATTCAGTTTTTTCACAAATATCTTACATAATTAAAAGCTAAATAAGGCTGTTATATGAATTTGTATGTATAGAAAGTGAGTTTCGAAATAAATGCTTGACTAAGCTGCAATAGTTGTTAGGTATGAATGCATATGACTATATATTATGATGAAGGTAAGGTCAAAGTTGGTGCATAATAAGAAAGTTAAACTTGAATCATATTTTAATGTTAAAATTCTCTACTATTTAATGTCGATTCAGGAAATTTCACGAATACAGATAAATACATATATGGTTGAAGAAACCTAAAACTGTCTGGAAAAGATGTCGTGAAAGCGATTTTTATGTAAAAGGTATGTAGCTTAAATCTGTGTTTTTGATTTACAGTAGATAGTTTGAAACCTTTTAACTACTTGACTGAATAAATTCTGTTTGCAAACAGTAGTGAGAAGTGAGTGTTTATAATATTATGTACAATAAACAATTGTTTGGACGTTTATGCTCTAATTTAAGTGAAAATGTCTACTTATAATAGTCGATCGATGTAATGCTTTTTACTCAATGAATAATTTATTTTTCACTAACTTTCAAAAATTTTCAGTGAAATATGTTTCTATGATGATCGTGCAACAATACTAATTGATTGAACTTGGAAATGTGAACAACAGTTCAGGGGTTGAAAGGCCAGGCAATCATCTGGAACGTCCTAACTTTGATTTCCATTGGGGACATAGTTGGGCACCACCATTAAGTTCCTTACCATTACAGAACAGCTATTTAGTACCTCCTAGTTTATACTTGTTTACTATCGAAGTCAGTCCGTAATGAACAATTAAAAGTTTAACAATATCCATAACCCTTAATGCTATATATTTTAATCTGTCAATCTAGAGTATTAAGAAAACATATTTTGAATTACTCATTTTCATTTATTGAAGTGTAGATTCTATAATTTATCCTCCCTTAATTTTGCGTTTGTAACTTGATCAAGTTATTACATTCAAACAGAGAGGTGAGGAAGGGTGACGAATTTATGTGTCGATAGTGGGTTTCCACTTCGTTTTGTTATATCACTTCATTGAGTCTATCAATTAAATAACTATTGTAAATAACTTGAAAAAGGAGATTTCATGTAGTTTATAGGAACAAAGTATTGATAATTTGATATAAACTGTGTTTAAGTTTAGAATTTAGATTTTTAGGAGTAATATATAGACTGACATTCTTTATCAGTTGTATTGAATGTGACTGAACACATGTACTAAGTCTTAGTTACTATTTTGATTTGATTTGAAATACATCACTAAATAACATATTAGTAATTATTATTGTGTGACAAAAAAAAACAAAAAAAAATAATCTACCTTCAGAATACTGTAACTAATGTATTTTCACATCTAACAACTTGGTTACTTGTAACCAAATCAATAAACTGTCTTACCTAAGGGAATTTAATGCATGATAAACTTCATTTAGGATTAGTAAAAAAACAACAACAACAACAACCTAATTTAAAACGTTGTATTGTAACAAGTTGAATGATTTTTCTGACATGAAAATCATTCTATCCTATTTGTTTGTTTATTAATTAAACGTGTCCTTAACATAGAATTATCTTGAATTTCACAGTTGAAGTGTTCAATTATTCTTGAGAGATTTTTTGTTTCAAATGTCATGATTTCTATAGAAAAAAATACTGTGATTATTTATTGGGTATCAGAATGTTGATTAGATAAAACGTTTTATTCATCAACTGCTAGTTTTACATTATACCATAACTGTACATTTGTATTTATTGGTGATCTATTGTACCTGATTGATCATAACAGTTAAGATAAACATTTTTGTTTGTTTGTTTTAGATTGATTAACATTCTGATTATTTGAATCTTGAAATTATGATTGTTAGCATTGAAATATGGATCAGTTAAGCTTTTGTTTTAATCAACTGACAATTCAAACTAACCTATTACCAATAATCTTTTTGAACTGACTATACATGAACTGATGTTTGAAACTAGGTATCATTGAGCATTCAGAGCAATTTTTACTAGTGTGGTGGTGGTACTTATATTGACATAAGTAGTATATAACGCGAGTGAAGAACGTAATGTCTGGCAGCAGAAGATTGGGAAGATCAAGAAAGGAGCAACGGGAATAGAAAGCAATTAGTATAGAAATGCAAGAACAATGAAGCCCGAGACAATTATTGAACATTTTGCAAATTAGGTATTATAGTATGGTTTTTCTATTTTACCAAGTAACTCTGTAATGTTGTGCTAAATATAATTCGTTTGTCCTCACCTGTGTTCTCCTTCACTACATTTGCTGTCGCTGCCTCCACTAAGGATGAAGATTCCATGGCCGAAGGAATTTGAAGACGGAAATAACGTCCTATTCGAGATGTTATGAAAGTTCAATTTATTTTTCCTGCAAAAATATTAAAGAAATTGTCATAAGTCCATAAAACATCTTTTGAATTTTTGACTCTAATTAAAATTACTGCATAAACACGTTATTTGACTCTGTTTGAGTTCAGGGAGCATGAGAATATAATAACTGATCACACACAAACAAAATAGACTTCATTGTACAAAATAAATTTATTAGGATAAAATGGTTGATGAGATTCCTTATAAGTAGTTTATAATCATTTCTATATATTTTCAAATAAATATTCGAAATTACATACATTTGTTATAAGTAAACGATTTGTAATCTCTAACTAATAAAAGAACCCAGAAATAGGTTCAATGTTATAAATGTTTAAAAATATATATCTTTCTAGAAAATAGTGACTTAGATATTTGTCTATTAATCTATCTACACTTCAACGTGACCTTTCTGGAACTTTAAGAGTTCATTTTAATAAGGACTTTTAATCTTTACAAGAATAAGTCTAGTTAGTGTATATGATGGCTGGTGAGGTTTTAACATCATTCAAAACTTTCGAACATTTCATAACATTAGTAATATTGTGAAATCCTCGACCGTTCATAAGTTATTGCTGAATAACCTTTTGTTATACTCTATAGATTTTATTTATTAAACTTTAGAAGTGTATTAACTCTCTCAAAGAATATCTATTCATCGCACTAATACGACAAGAATACATGAATGTTAAGCAGTTTTAATATTTATGCACGTTTGGAGTACTCAATATGACATACTTTCATTCTGAAATTCAACACATTTCTCTTACTGATGACTTTATAAACTTCGCTAAATATGTTCTCTTTAAAATTATGGTAAGGAAGTGTTTTGCAGAACTTGCTGTTACCATCATTGTCAGTTAGTACTGTGTTTGTTAGTATCTGTATGCGTATAGAATCAGTTAGACAATACCGTGACATACATTTCAAGTTCTAATGAATTTTTAATCAATAAAAAGTCTTTCAATTTATATGGAATTCACCAGTTATATTTACTTGTATACCAGTACCGATGCTAATTCTGACGCGAAGCCAGTCTTTATTTTTCAAGATGCTTAGTTAATAACGGAGACCGATTAAAGTCATTGAAGATCCTTATAAATTGGAATATTTATATATTTCAAACGCATTTAAAATGTTGGTAACTGTCACGACTAAATAGAGTTGACTTTCAAAGCAACAGATACTGTGTTCGAGTCTCAGTATAAGTAACCACACTGGAATATAAGTAAGTTCAACTAACGATTCTAACT